TATCAAAACAATGTGCGTGTGTGCGTTGGAGCACAGAATACATAGTTGGAGGAGTTTAATGTCGCGTTCCGAAACTCGCGTTTCTTTGGTATTAGTTTCGGCACGCGAGATAAAATGCATCAGTTTCCACGTCATTACATGTATTGCCGGAACATTGATGAAAATACGCTCTGTAGTAGCAAAGCTGTTGGGTCCTAGATAGCTCATTGGTTAGAGCAGTCCCTGGATCGCGAATGGGTTCGAGTCCCATTCCGGGGTACAGGTAGATGGATTCTTCCAGCATTTTTCCTTGAGAATGTTTATATATTTTTTTAATTCGAATAGTTTACTTTTATAATGCTGTTGTGTGTAATGTGTTTTTATGATCATAAAAATCTCTTTTTTCTATATTTAATACTATTACTATTAATACATTGCAATAATAATTATGATTCACATGATTAACAATAAAGCGATTACTTACTTTTAAATCCTTATATATGTTTTATTTAATTATTTTTTATTCACAACGCCCTATCACCAGGGTGACGGTTCTGTTCAGGAGATTTTTTTTAAATACGTAGGCAAAAAAACTGCCACATTACAAATCTTTTTGACAGGACGAAGTCTGTCGGGTCAGCTAGTTGTTTATATATTTATAGGTACGCAAAACGAAATCTTGCAGTTTACTTCTGCTAATAATTGTCAGTAGATAAAATAATGAATAATTTCCCTCGTTAGCTACGGCTTTCCTTCCAATATAATTATGTGCAAGTTGTCATAAAAATAAACATAAGTTCAATGTGCCCGGTCGTTGACGCGGCTGTAAAATTAAACAGAGAATAAACATTCATTATAAAATAAGTCAGGTTTGATTCGACGGTGGTGGGGAGTATTCAAAAATGGCTGGTGGCAAGTCGGTTACTCGTCCGCATTATTAAAACCGAACCTTATTTATTAGAAGTCATATTATATATTGATAGTTGTTATTGGTGTTGTTAACTTAGCTTTTTTGAGTTAAATTTGCTCTAATAAGAATATCTCAGTTCTAGTTACTATAGGTATTTATAGTCAAAGTCAAAGTCAAAATAATCTTTATTCAAATAGACTTCTTAAAAGTACTTTTGAATCGTCCAACATTTTTTTTCCTACCACTCGTTCAGGACGTCTTTTGGCTGATAAGAAGATAATGAAACAAGATAATGAGTTAAGAAGTAATCACCTATACAGTTGTTAGATCTTCTCAAGTCCAAGCGTTCTTATCTGTCATATAATCGGATACCTTATAATAAGCTTTTTTAATAAGTATTTTTTTAATAGTAGATTTAAACTGCATGATATCTAATTGTTGTATTTTGCTTGGGACCTTATTGTAGAAGCGCACACAAAGACCCTTGAATGAGTTATTAACTTTTTGCAGTCTAGTGACAGGCACCGTTAATTTATTTTTATTTCTTGTATTAAAATTGTGTACATCACTTTTTATAGAAAACAAACTAATATTTTTACGAATGTACATTAAGTTCTCGTATATGTATTGAGAAGCAACAGTCATAATGTCTATTTCCTTAAATTTCTCCCTTAAAGAGTCCCTAATCCTAAGATTATAAATTGATCGAATTGCTCTTTTCTGAAGCACAAAAATTGTTTGTATGTCGGCAGCATTTCCCCACAATAGGAGTCCGTACGACATTACACTATGAAAGTAACTGAAGTATACTAATCTGGCAGTATCTATGTCAGTTAACCTACGTATTTTCATAACGGCATATGCTGCAGAGCTAAGTCTACTCGACAATCTATCAATATGTGGGCCCCACTGTAGTTTAGAATCTAATGTTATTCCTAAAAATACTGTGGTATCCAAGGCCCATGTTCTTATCTTTTATATTAACATTTATATCTACTTTTTTAACATTAGGTAGTACAAATTTTAAGAATTTTTTTTTCCTTCATCAAGGAGAAGATTATTTACATTAAACCAATGTACTACTTTAGCGATAGAATTGTTCACATCGTCATTTAGAGGTAACCCTCTTTTAATGTTAAACAAAAGTGAAGTGTCATCCGCAAACAAAACTATTTCGTGGTCATCCCTTACAAAATAAGGCAAGTCATTTATGTAAATCAAAAACAAGAAAGGACCAAGTATTGAGCCCTGCGGAACACCCATCTTAATTTTCGATCCAGGGGATCTTTTGCCATTGATATCAACCCTCTGTACTCTGTCAGTCAAGTATGAGACAATAAAATCCAATGAGTTATCTCTAAATCCATAAAAATGCAGTTTCCTAATCAATGTTTCATGAAAAACACAATCAAATGCCTTAGATAGGTCACAGAAAACACCTAACACATCATGTGAATCCTCCCAGGCATTAAAAATTTCTTGTATTAACTCGACACCGGCTTCGGTTGTTGAGCGACCCTTTGTAAAACCAAATTGTTGTCGATTCATAAGCTTATTCTTGTAAAAGTACGTTTGTATTTGATCCAGCATGATTTTTTCAAAAATCTTACTAAACGTAGGTAGCACGGATATAGGTCTAAAGTTAGTAGGGTCAGATGTGCTACCCGATTTATGTAATGGAATAATTTTACTATATTTCATGAGCTCAGGAAAAACACCATAATCAGTACATTCATTAAATATATAAGCTAAGATTGGAGCTATTGTCTCAATTACCGATTTAGAAACTTCAATGGAATTACCCCATAAATCAGCGGTTTTCTTTTTCTTTAGCTGATTAAAACATTTTATTATATCTTTTAAATTAATGTGTTGAAACTTAAATTGGCTATTACAATTATTTAAGCTTGCCTTCAAAATAGATTCAGCAATAGTGGAAGAGGAATTCAAAGATTGTGTTATTAAGACTGGAATTTCAGTAAATAAATTTTCAAATACTGTAGCAACTTCAAGATCTGATGTTACTTTTTTATTATCAACGTTCAAATTAAAATTTATATTCCGGGATTTTTCTCTTCCAGTTTCACTATTTATGATATTCCACGTCATTTTAACTTTATCTTTACTATTTTTAATTTTTGCATTTAAATAATAACATTTGGCTAAACGACACACTTTTTTGAATAATTTAGAGTAATTTCGTACATATTCTTTGAAGTCCTCACTTGTGTTATAATTACGTTCATCATATAGTTCATAGAGCTTTTTTCTACTTTTGTAGATTCCTGGTGTAGCCCACACACTAAAAGTTATAGGATTACTAATACTAATTTTTTTTGGGACAAAAATCTTATTGAATTCTGTACAATAAACATCAAAGAAATCTTTGTACAAATAATTGGGATTACTATTATGTTTCAAATGATACAATTTACTATCTAATTGATTTTTAAAACGTTCCAAGCGACTCATACTTTTTGACACAACTGTAATGTCTCTCCTAACCACAAACGTACATTTATGCGGAAAACTAACTATTTGTCCAAAATGATCTGACGGTAGTTGTTTAATTATCTGTTTTGAAAGTGGTACCAGATCTGTAAAAATGTTGTCAATACATGTGGACGAAGTAGCAGTTACTCTAGTAGGCTCCTTAAACATGTGCGCAAGATTATAGGACATAAATAGATTTACAAGTCTTGTACATGAATTGGAGTTTCCTAATAAGTCAACGTTAAAATCACCCCCAATCACTAATCGTTTGCCTTTGCTATATACCTTTTTTAAAGCTTCATCCATAACTGTTTCAAAAAGATCATAATGACAAACTAAACTTGAAGGAGGTCTATATACGCTCAGTACAATCAGCTGGTCCAGCTGTATACAGGCAATCTCTATTATTTCCTCAACCGATAGGCTCACTATATCTCTACGTTTTTTAAATTTTAACTTTTTATTTAATAAAATTAGTGCGCCGCCACGCATTGCGTTTTTCCTAATGAACGCTTAATATACTTAAACAGATTATGCCACAAAATAATAAGAAATAAGAAATAACTCATCTGTTCCGTCTATACTCTGTACTAATATTATGACGAGGAAGGATTTTATTTTTTGTTTGGTCGGTTGTTTGTTTGCAACATCATATGCGGATGACATAGGCCATAATTTGTTGTTTATTTAGTCATGGGAAAACTGCTAGCTTCAATACATACCATAGGTTTTTGTTACCAAAAAATAGTTGAACTAAAAAGTTCTTTGCCGACAAATAACATTTTAGTGCATGCAAAGAGTATTCTCATTCTTATAATTAATATTACTTTATAAATTTGTAGTTAAAGCCTATTTACAACAATCTACCTGCAACTTTATTTATTATAAAAAATTAATAACATTGAAAATGATACAGTAGGTATAAAATTATTATCCGACTGCCATCACTGCATGCAAATGCATCTGCATGCAGTGATGGCATTGAAAGATTATTGTGAAATATCTTGTAAATTTAACCAGCCGCCATTCGGAGGGAATGCGTTTTGACGTTTATGGGTTTTCACGCACCCTGTATTTCAGAAATTACGACCTCGCAACGCGTTGCCTTTCAAATTTTATTGACTATATATGTAAGTAGTTCTATATTTAGGTCCGGTACAGATGTTCACTACTTACGTTCAGGTAGGAATTTAGCAAGTTCTAGAGAGTAATTTTCACATGTATTGCACTAGGAAACCTCGCTAAATTTATGCCGCATTATAATTAATAGAATATAATATACCAGCTTTTTTCTCGAGACTTCGTCCACGTAAATTCTAGCCCTGATTACCCGTGTATGATGTAGGTTTCCGTAGGTGACAGATTATTTTATCGATCAAGTAGTTTCCGACTCTATCTCTATCTTTAACAATGTCGTAACATAACCTATACATATCATAGTAGATCATTTATTAATCTCTATCATATTCAAACATATAACGATTTCATCATCAGCCCCTTTATTTCCCACATTCGGAGAATTTCAGCAGGAACCAACGACTTTGAGGAGCTCGAAATAATTATTTTTGTTCACCCAATACCGTTTAAAAATTTCTAATGTTCCTTTTATTTGTTTCAGAAACTAATGGATCCCAATAAAAGGATTTGAGTCTCACAGTGCAAAATGGCAAACGCCGCCATTGCGTTTTGGCGCCAAATGCCAATCGCTGTCATTCTCACTTTATTGACAACAGCGTGCATCTGTTCAGCCAGGGATATTGTTTTAGGTAAGTTTTTTTTAAAGAAACGAAACAAATTCTTATGTACACGTGGGAACCAAAGCAGGCACTTTTGAATCATTTTTCAAATCTAAAAAAAGGTTTATTTTAATAAGGTTAAGGTTTTCTACATTAGAAATATCCATTTACGATTGTGAATATAAAATTTATTGAATATAATTTATTATAATTTTTCATCGTAGGAATGAAGCTTATTTCGCCAATTAGCTATATATTGTTGCTGTACGCATATTATCTATGGCGTCAATCATTCATAGCCGTGTAATACAATGACGTGAATATACTTTACATTTGGCTTCAGTTCAAAATGGTTTGTTATGTATAATCCCTTTAAACTGAATCTTTACAACGTCTAGTTGATGAACGAAATGATGTTTTAGTAATGGAAATGAATTGACAATGTTGTTTGATGTTAGTTTTTTTTCAGATTAAAAAAAGCTTTTTTCCTATTTATCCCATTTCTCGTGTAAAGAATAAATAATCGAAAGCTCAACTCAATAATTGCATGCAAATAAGCGTGACGTCGGCTTGTTTCGAAGTATAATGAAATCGATAAACGTCCAAAGCAAAGGAAGTATTAATAATAAAACACAATAAGTGGGGACGTTTCGTATGATTTTTCTTTTATTTAAGACCTAATGTAAAAATAACGATGTTAGGAACAATGAGCGAAAAACTACACACAGTGAATAAATACACATTGATTTTAATATGTTCATTAAATGAAAAAAATAATTTAGTATTCCAAAAACATCAACATTAACGAAAATCCGAGATTCGATACGAACGATTTGGAATTTTAAGCGAGAATCGGACGCTGCATACGAATTATGTCTACTTATAGATAGAAACGATTTGCTGATGTTTTTGGCTGTCGGAAATAGATTCTTTTACCCGTAATTTTTTATTGTTTTTCAGTCGCCAAATGCATCGCAATAAAAATATTTAAATATCTAAGTACTTAATTATAATAAAATCAGCTTGAATTATGTTTTGTATCTTTCCACATATTAATTCTTTATTGGAAAAGAAAGACCGACTTCTCTCTATCTCCCCTGCGAGGTAGATCAAATTAATGTTATTACTATATACTATATTACCATGAAAATGTATAGGTCAGAACAATATTTGGGCATATAGGTATGTTTTCATTCATAAAGAGTGATAAAAATCTAACTTAAGTTCCAACATACTCCAACATGTAAATATGTAGTTTGTTTTTATTAGAACGATAGTTTTCTACGGGATTGCTATTATGTATGTACTTCTCTTTTTATTGAGTTCCCGATATTTTGCCGTTTGTTGTAAGCGCCATGATCACCGGGTAACTAAAATTTCTAGCGTAACTGAAGAACAAAAACAAGGTTTATGGTTGTAACCTCGTAAAAAACTAACATTCTAATATAAACGACCATGAGAGCTTAATACAACATAATGTGTTGATAGTTGGTTAATAGCCTGTAAATTGAATTTTAAAATAAGAACGCCGGCGGAAAACGTTATTACGTCACGGGTACGAATCGATTGGTGCATCAACCCTCTCATTTGGTTCTCATTACAGGCCGGATGGCTGCAGCAGACAATCATTACCAGACCAATATAGAGAGACCTCTTTCCTTTCTCCAATTTATTACGACAGGAGAATTACATAAAAAAATTGACCGCTGAATTTCAACTAAGATTTTTATTCTTTACATTCACATTTGACGACCTCCGTAGCCGAGTGGTTCGCACGCTGGTTTCAAGGTGTCGGTTCTCGTAGGGTCAATGTAGAAAAAAACTTTTCTATATTATCTCGGGTCTGGGTGTTATAGTACCTTTGTTTTCTACGATACTCCATAATACCAGGGATGTTGCTACTCATCTTGAAATCTGAGTGATGCATGTGATGTTGTTTAATAATCATTATTATTATTATTTATAATAATTCGAGAATCGCAGGTTAACTGATTTATATCCCAAAATAAGTTCTGAATAATATGAAACCATCTTGATTTATTTCTATCAAAAACTTGATGATTGAAACAAAATAGAAATATGTATACATAAGTAAAGAGTATAAGTTAAAACTATTAAACTTATATTGGCTAAAGAAACTTTATCTAAAAATATATATTATATGAACGCACCTACTCCTTATATGTCCATTACTATAAAATATTTTATTGTTATTGAAGGTAGTCTTAATGTGCCCATTCTCCTTTCGTAATAATATAATACACGACGGTTCAGCACTGGCTGGCCGTCGCGTGCTATTTAACTTCCACACGGCTCCTGCTGCCCTGGTACCTAGCCTACCAGTAAGTTAATTCGTTTAATGTAACGTTTTATTGGATTAAGAGGATGCAAAAGATTAACTCATGCATTCCCAAAGACGTGCATTTCTGACATAATTACCAACAATAAAATATGGATCTTCGTCATTTATCAAATGGTAATTCTTTTTTAACTGATTAAAGAAAAAGAACATTATCGCCTTTGCAAACTTAATAAAACAATTTAAGATTATATTTTATTGTCTTGAGGAATTAAGAAAGTTTTTTTTTTTATTAATATCGAAATATAATAATAAAATAGATTGCATTGAAACGTATCACATGTGTTGCGCTCAAAAATCGAAATTGCTTATCACACGACGCTCACGAAATACTCACGACGAGTTGTGGCATTCACAGAATAACCACACGCTACAACGCGTTGACGTCGAATAGCGTATCAGCCACGACACCGATTTCGACATGTGGTTATTCTGCGATTGCCACAACGCGTTGTGAACTATTTTTTTACTAAGCGATTTCGATCTTTATGCGTAACACATACATAGTTTAATGTTAGTTATTGGCAGTGATTTCTGTTTGCTCCCGCCAGGCAGAGGTAGTATGATAATAGATGAAATGTCAAATGGTGTATATTAGAAAGAAGTAATATTGAAAGTTTATATCGCGTAATTTTCATTAAAAAATTACGGAAAATGAGTTGTTATATTTTGAAACACTTAATTAAGCAGTTAACTGCGAACACATCTGCTAAAATAGATCAGACGGAGACAGATACCTATGATAAAAAGGTGAAATATTTGTTTTTATCAAATCTGTGAAAATGAATTGAAATCAGTTAATTTTTCAATTTATTATTAATTAATGCAATTACCATCAAATTTCATAAATATCTAGATTATTTGCCATTCTTATTACCGATAATTCGAAGAACAGTCATGTTTGAACTATTTTGTGAGTTTATCTCAGCACCTATTTGAATCGGGTTGCTATAAAAAATAAAAAAAAGATAAAATGCCACAGCAAATATCCGAAACGCAACAACAGTATACTATTGTTGCATTTTATTTCAACTCGAGTGGTAGATCAAATCTTTGTACAAATGATATTATCGCGTCCCTTATCTTATTCAAAGCAAAAAATCTTATCACAGACAGTTATTTGTATAGAGGACGTTCTAGATCATCTGTCGTTTGCAACAAACAGACCTGATCAAACAATGGAACATCTTCAAAAAACAAATCATAAAGTAATGCAATCTACTACAGGATAAGGCGTGAATCAATAAAGATAGATTGAATTTTTTTAAATGATAAAAACTGTCTCTCATTCCTTAGACCTTATTCCAACCTTTTGCTTATCGAGCGATAGTCGAGCAACCGTCAGCAGAGCGATTAAGATTCAGGATTAGATCTACTGAAGTCAATCAGAAATTCAGTTACGCGGTAGAGTCACTGAAGGCCTACCGTGTAGCATTGTGTAATACTGTATTGAACGCTGAGTGAATTTTGATTGAATCCAATGTCAACTAAATCAAAACCGATGGAGGCTGTGTGTAAATAAGTGAAATACATTATTGTTGAAGTTCTCAAATACTTACGACATGCGCTACTAGTCACATATTGCTATCAACGTGTACGCAAGCTACTACTAATTCATTTTATATATAAAAAAAAGTTATTTTTCCTTGAAAATTGATAAGCCTAGATTATGCATGTAACACGATACATTTTTATCCCATGTTAAAATCACCGCGGGTGCTGCATATAGATGCGGTAGGAAGTCGGTGCCTTTGCGTGCTCCAGCCAGCAGCGGCGAGGACGTGGCATCCTCCCACCAACGTACTGTGAATCCGCAATACGGGGGAAAACACTGTTAGGCTTCTAACAAACATTTTTCTTTTATAGAAAAATATCTATGACTTCACTTCAAATTCCGCACGGAGTAGGCATAGAATTCAAAAACCACAATAGCATGGCCTAGAATGCTTGCATACGAAGAATAGGAAAATATTTGAAATATTTCAACCCTCCAAAGTGCATCAGACGATCCTCGAAATCGTGACTGCTCTACTAATTGAACTACCCGAGAACTTTTCTAAAATATTTTCAAGTAATTGTTCCAAATACCTATTGGAGCTAAGATACGCCACTATAATTTAATTTAGAAGTGTTGATCTTTTTTTATAAAAGTCAAGATTATCTTAGGTAAATTCTGTAAAGGGTCTTAATATTGTTATTAGTAAATTAATAAATACTTTATATTTATAAGTGAAATATTTTTATAAGATATCGATAGGACACACATATCTAGAGCATTGTTGTAATATTTACATGAGCATTAAAGTTTAACTTGTAAATGTTTTTTTAGATTAAGATTTTATGTTCAAGGCTTTCTTGTTTAATTTAAAGTCTTTAAAATTTAGTCTGTATTTTGTATAATATGGGATTTACGAAAGTTTGCAGTTGGCCTAAGTCGTGTAAAGCAGTCGTGAGCGACGGAATTTGCATTAAGTTAGCTTTCGCTTATCACATTTCAGTAGCATTCTACACTTTAGCGTTGAAACTTTTATTTTAAAAACATAGAAACATGAATGTGTTGTTTATGAATATGAATAATTGTTGTTTTTCTCTCTAAACGTGCACCAAAACATTAATGAATAATTTACACTAACTAAATAATGAAACAATATTTCTAAATCTAGTAGCCTTT